CCCCCCCCGGGGAAGCCCCCCGAAACGGGTCATACGGCCGTACGTACGGCCCGTACGTACGGCCCGTACGAGCGCCTGGGGGGCCGTATGTACTCCCCGTATCCGTACGGGGGGCAACATAGCTTATCACCGATTGGCAGCCCAAAGCGATCTCCGCCATTCTGGCCCAGATGGGACCAGACGAACTGGAACACGTGGTGGAACACGCATCCAAGACAGTCCCTGCTTGCAAGAGGCATTATTTGGCGCCTATGGGGGAATGCTTAGCAGTCTGTGGGGAATCAGCCATTTAAGGGCGTATTGATACGGGTGGAAATTCATTTGAACCATGGCTCCATGAGCCATTCTTAGCCTTAAAGAAGTCAAAGGATCACTTGGGTACGATGGGACGATGGACTACCCCATTGTAGAGTATGGACTTTGACATTCGGCACTGAAGGCACGAGTGACACGGAAACTGCGACAAATTGACACGTTTGCACCGCCCAGGCAGAATCCCAGCAAGCGAGGAAGTGATCCCAAGAAACGATCCTCGGCCCAAGAACGAGCCCTAGTACGACGAGGTGAAAATACTGCAGAAGGGTTGAAACCCTCCTTCGTGAGTGATGGCTGATCCCTCCTCTACCCTTACCCTCCCTTCTCCCTCTAAAGTCTTTGGCCCCTCTTTTTCTCGGCCCTTCCCGCGTCTACGGAGTGGATTTTCATGCACATGAGTCTGGTTTCATTGATTGGATAGATCGTGCGACGTGTGTCAATCGCGCGCACGGTGTGTGTATTCGATATCGGATGGTTAGTAAGACATGAAAATGTCCTTTATTCTGTACAAAAAAGCTTCCAACAGAAGCTCGTTTTGAAGCCACCAGAACTGACGAACCCGTATATGATGAAAAATACAGAAGAACGGAAGTTTGGACGGATAACATTTTATTGAGTAAATTAGTTGGCCATCCGTTAGACGGAACGAAGACAGACGCCGAGTCAATGAAAGAACCCGGGATTACCGATGGATCGACAAACATCTCGCGAAGCGTAAGAATGGCATCTCTAGATTTGGTTGACAGTCCCTCATCCGTTCCAACAATATGATTGGACGAGATCTGCTCACGAGGAGCAGGCCGCTCACTGTGCGATACATGTCACAAAAGTAAGTATTGACCAAAACAAATAATTCTAGTCTAATATTCTAGAAGATGTGAGGCATGTGGTTGGAAATTATCTAGTGTGCTCTGCGGATCGGGCACCGATCCGAGGACCCAACAAGATTGTACCTACGGAAGTTGAGCGTCCTTTTCAATGTGTCAGTATAGATACGACAGATATCGACGTGCTAGTTGGTCCTAGCCGTTAAGAGTTTTCGATTTCATTGGTACTAATTGATCATTTTACGAAATGGATAGAAGTCTAGCTCTGTGTGACATGTAAGGCCTCCTAAATAGGTGCTTACATCGACCAATTCCTCAATACCCATGTAGATACAGAAGAAATTATAACCGACAATGGGTCCGAAATTCAAGGCCGGCGTAGAACAACTACTGACACAAAGAGGCGTCGTTCCTAGGCATACTGCCCCCCATGTGTCTCAAACAAACGGGTTCGCAGAATATGTCACCCGATACCGTTCATCAAATCGTCGGCATTCACCGGGCCACCCCTCATGAATCAACATGATTCACCCCCTTCCAACTACGGACAAATAGCCTCCCTTGTGTCACAAACTGGGATGCTGAGTGTCCTTTTAACCAGGGGGGGGGGGGGGGGGGGGGGGG